CAACCGACCTAACCTCAGTTATGGTCCTGGTCGTGGTCGAGGCATCACCAAGCCGACCCGCCACACCAACCCCGATCACTCTGCTTGTACCAGATGTGGGATGTTCAACCACCCAACAAAGCAATGTCGCACCCCCAAGATCCACTGCGATCTATACCAGAAGTACGGAAAAGCTCCTGCTGAAGCCAACATGACTCAGCCAGTCGATGCTGCTAACCTGGAAGGTGACGACCTCCTTGATGATGAGAACACCACAAACGAGCAGACCGACCCCATGGACTATGAAACAGCTGATCTCCTCGATTAATTCAATCATCTGAAACTCTGATACAATTTGATTTTGTTCTTTATTTTTTTCATTTTGGGATTTGTTTCATTTTTTTTTTCCATTTGCCTTTATTCTCAGACACTGCTTTACTTTATGATTTATCACATTTTCTGAATTCCTCAATACTGAATTCTATCTTCTATTCATAATGAAGCACACCAGCAAATGGAAACCATAGTCGTAGATAGTGGATCCAGCCACACTATCTTAAGAAACAAAAGTTACTTCATAAACCTAACCTATCAAACCGCAAATATTAGCACCATCGCGGGTCCCTCAAATCTTATCGAAGGATATGGCCATGCCTATGTGTTGCTATCAAATGGCACACAACTTGAAATACCAGATGCTCTATATTCTCCTAGTTCGAAGAGAAATCTTCTGAGCTTCAAGGATATAAGAAAGAATGGTTTCCACATAGAAACCCAAGGTCAAGGGAACAAAGAATCCCTCCTAGTCACTAAAACCGTAGACGGCCATAAACAAATCCTCGAAACCATACCCGCGCTCTCTACTGGACTTTACCATGCTAAAGTCAGTATGATTGAAGCTAATACCACTCTCAAAGCCCGGTTTACTGATTATACTATTTGGCACGACCGGCTCGGTCATCCCAGTGCAAATATGATGCGTAAACTAATTCAAAACTCTCAAGGGCATACCCTCAAAGAAAACCGAGCTTATCCTCAACACCTCATGTGCACAGCTTGTTCTCAAGGCAAATTAATCACTCGGCCTTCACCAGTTAAAATCTCTAAACAAACACTTCATTTCCTAGAAAGAATCCAGGGCGATATCTGTGGACCTATACATCCATCTTCCGGACCATTCCGGTACTTCATGGTCCTTATAGACGCATCGACCCGTTGGTCATATGTTTGTCTCTTGTCCTCTCGGAACCAAGCCTTCGCTAGGTTCTTGGCCCAAATCATAAAATTGCGGGCCCATTTCCCTGAATTCCCACTAAAGACTATCCGCCTTGACAATGCTGGTGAATTTACCTCACAAGCGTTTAATGACTACTGTATGGCCATGGGGGTAACCGTGGAACATCCTGTAGCACATGTCCATACTCAAAATGGATTGGCTAAATCATTCATTAAACGCATTCAATGGATAGCCCGACCATTACTCATGAGATCAAAGCTCCCGGCCTCAGCATGGGGACATGCAGTATTACATGCTGCTGAACTCATACGCATCCGGCCATCTAGTGAACACAAATATTCCCCATCCCAACTACTCTCGGGTCATGAGCCAGACATCTCCCATCTCAAAACATTTGGGTGTTCAGTATATGTACCCATTGCTCCACCACATCGAACCAAAATGGGACCTCAAAGAAGGATGAGAATATATGTTGGTTTTGACTCTCCCACCATCAGAAGATATCTCGAGCCAACCACTGGAGATCTCTTCAAGGCCAGATATGCGGATTGCCAATTCGATGAATCGGTATATCCCTCTTTAGGTGGTGAGACAAACAAGCTGGTCAAAGATCTTTCATGGAATCAAACATCATTAAATTGGCAAGATCTTCGGACTCTAGAATGTGATTCAGAGATCCAAAAGATTATTCATTATCAAAAGCTAGCTAATCAATTGCCAGATTCCTTTGCTGACCCGACCAAAGTAACCAAATCGTACATCCCAGCTTGTAATGCACCAGTACGAATAGCTGTCCCAACGGGACAGACCCAAGTTGCTACAGAGTCTGCACCACATCTCAAACGGGGCAGACCTCTCGGTTCCAAAGATAAGAATCCCCGGAAATCAAAGAAAGGTGCAATAACCGAAACCGGGATTCCTGCAATATCAGACATAGCCGCGGCTGAGACTCAATCTAATGAACCCTCAATGGAAGTTCGGGACGCCGAATCTCCAGGTTCAGAAGATAACAATGAGATCTCCATCAATTATAATATGTCCGGAATACAATGGAATCGAAAAGAAGTCGACTTAAATGCACTCTTTGCATACAAAGTAGCACTTGATGTTGCGCTCACGCAAGAGGATCTAGAACCCACGTCAATAACACAGTGTACACATCGAACAGATTGGCTAAAATGGAAAGAAGCCATAAACGTGGAGTTAAAGAGTCTCAAACTCAGAAACGTGTTCGGTCCGATCATCCGGACCCCATCACACATCAAGCCAGTGGGCCACAAATGGGTCTTTGTGCGCAAAAGGAACGAACTCGGTGAAGTCGTTCGATACAAAGCACGGCTTGTAGCACAAGGATTCTCACAGAGACCCGGAATCGATTATGAGGAGACTTATTCTCCAGTGGTGGATGCAACAACATTCCGATTCCTCATAAGTCTGGCCATAAGAGAAAATCTTGATCTGCGGTCAATGGATGTTGTAACCGCATATCTCTATGGGCCCCTGGACAACGAAATATATATGAGACTCCCAGATGGCATTGAACTAAAAGACAAAAATGCATCTCGAGATCAATACTGCATCAGGCTGAACAAATCCTTGTATGGACTGAAACAAAGTGGGCGTATGTGGTACAACCGCCTCAGCGATTACCTCATCAAAGAAGGCTACAAAAATGACCCCATCAGTCCATGCATCTTCATCAAGAAGTATTCAAACAAAGGATTTGTAATCATAGCAGTATACGTGGATGATCTAAACATCCTCGGAACATCTGGTGAGATCTCCCAAACAGTCGACTGCTTAAAAGCAGAATTCGAAATGAAAGACCTAGGCAAAACAAAGTACTGTTTGGGATTACAACTTGAGTACATCAAAGGAGGAATCCTTGTGCATCAATCGGCTTATATCGAAAAGGTACTCAAGCGATTTAATATGGACCAAGCTCACCCATTGACCAGCCCAATGGTAGTTAGAAGCTTAAGTGATGACCCTCTTGGTCCCAAAAAGGATGATGAAGAAATCCTTGGTCCTGAAAAGCCATACCTCAGTGCTGTAGGAGCGTTAATGTACCTGGCTAGTCACACTAGACCAGACATATGTTTCGCCGTGAACCTCCTCGCTTGATATAGTTCATCTCCAACTCAGAGGCACTGGAACGGTATAAAACATCTCCTAAGATACCTTCGAGGTACTCAAGACTTAGGACTCTTCTATACTAACCAAAATAAAGATGGGTTAGTCGGCTTCGCCGATGCAGGATATCTATCAGATCCGCACACTGCCAAGTCTCAAACTGGCTACGTTTTTACGCATGGAGGAACAGCCATCTCTTGGAGATCAATGAAGCAGACACTCACTGCCACTTCATCAAACCATGCTGAAATCCTAGCCATTCATGAGGCTAGTAGGGAATGCGTCTGGCTGCGCTCCATGACTCAGCACATCCGCAGAGATTGTGGTATGGACGAAGACACACAGCCCACGGTGATGTATGAAGACAACGCGGCATGCATAGCTCAGCTCAAGGAAGGATATATCAAAGGAGATCGGACGAAGCACATTCTACCGAAGTTCTTCTCAACCTCAGACTGGCAGAAGGACGGCACTCTCAGCGTTCAGCAGGTCCGATCCAGTGAGAATTCAGCTGACCTCTTCACCAAATCATTGCCTACTTCAACACACCGGAAGCTCGTCAAACAGATAGGAATGTATAGACTTTGAGATCTGCAGTGATGCTACAATCAGGGGGAGTAATGCGTGTTGTACTCTTTTTCCTTCACCATGGTTTTGTCCCACTGGGTTTTTCCTGGTAAGGTTTTAATGAGGCAACATTCCTCAGCGCATTATCGAGATCCCGATTGAGTAGCTGACCCGGTTCACTCGTCCAAGGGGGAGTGTTATAACACATATCATATATGGACTCTTATACTGGCCCATTAGGCCCATCAGGGCATTGTACTTAACCTAGATTCCCTATGTACTCTATATATACATTCCAGTGATTAATAAAGTTTCTAAGTTTTCACAACAGTAGGTATATATACTGCTTCAACTTTGTAAAAAGATGATGTGAAGAAGCAATAATAAGAAGCAATAATAAGAAGCAATAATAAGAAGCTCTCTTTTCTCCTTCTTTATGCTCGTCTCTCTCTCCTCCAATATCACTCTCTCTCTCTCTATAATATAATATATAAAGATACATATATACATAGATATATGCTTTTATTCACAACAAAAATCAAATTGTCAAAGTTGTTGTACATAATTATTAACTCGTTGATAAAGAAATTCCAGGGAAAAGTTGGGATTTCGATTTTCCTGGACCTCAAATCCATGGCGTTATTATTGGGCTTCCATCGATTCATTTTGGGTTTTTATATTATGGATTTGTAACTAAAGTTGGCTTGCTGTAATTATAGTAAGCACTTTTGCTACATTTAAATATATGCAATGAAAAAGGTTTCAAAAAAAAAGAAATTCCAGGGAACGAATTGGATATTGCTACGTGGCGGTTGAGCTCTATAATTGATCCATTCTTTTCGTTCTTGCAGATTTAAATATTATATTCAACAAAATTAAAAGAAAACAACTCCATAGATATTATTACTGTATTTGTTAAATATTATTATTCTGTTGTTGTAAAAACATTTTATTATTACGATGAAAACTTGAACAACTCAGTAACTCACATGCTACCATCGGAAGAGAAGAGGGACCATAGATAAAAAACGATAAACATGATCGGTACAATATCACAAACTAATATGAATTCTTAAATTATCTATTTTTTTTTTTTTTGGGGAGGATTCAAGATTTGGATTCTTGATCTAGAGTTCGTCCCTCACTATCTTGGAAGTTGGAAATCCCGGCTTAAGGAAATCAGAATACCATTTGCCAGAAACTTTCTGGTGACGAGTCAAATTGTTTTGGAAATCGACATAGTAAAGCCCGAACCTCGACTTGTATCCATCTTGCCACTCAAAGTTATCCAGCAAAGACCATGCGTAGTATCCTGTAACGTTCACTTTGTCTTCGCTACAAAAAAACAATCAAGTTCATGCAGATTGATTATACTTAATATAACATTTTTGAGTTAGTTTTCGGTTTAGTTTGAACTTTTACTCACCAAATGGCTTCGCTCAAACTCAAGAGATGCTTTTGGTGATAATATTTCCTGTTGTAATCTCTTGTCCCAACTGTTACGTTATTATGATATTCCCCAAGGTCTTGTCCATATCCTTTAAAAAACAGAAAGAAAGTTTTAATTGATTAGGATAAAATAAAGTTGAAATCAATAAATATTGAGTTTTGAGCATTTTCTCTAACCATTCTCGGTGATCATAATTTCTGGGTCACCATAATTGTGCTTGGTATAATTCAAAAGTTTTCTCAGTCCTCTTGAATACGTATCCAGTAGAGCACGAGTAGGCTAATTAATGAAGAAAATAAAATAAAATCAATACAGTATATCACTACTGTAACTAAATTTAATGGTAAAGAAAGGTAGGTGTGGTGGGAAAAAAATACTAAAATGATTCTATCACCTTGCTACCAATGTTGAATCCATCCACAGTCTTGCCTGAATTATTGAACAATGCGCACATTAACTTCATATAAAAAAAAAGATAATTGAAGTTAGAAAAATTGAGTACTTACTTTCCCAATCAACAAGAGAATCCATCTGCCAACTCGGTTTCTTATGATCTGGTTTGTCATTATTAGCCGCAAACATTGCAGTATAATAATTCATTCCTACAAAATCTGTAGAGTTCCTCAGCTTTCTCTTTTCATCTTCACTGAATGTTGGCAGTCTATGACCAATAAGATCCTTCATCGACTGTGGATAATCTCCGTAAGTTGTTGGATGCAAATGCCTGTTTTTTTTAAATAAATTATAATGAGTTAATATTAGAATATCAAATTATATAAATTTATTTTAAGGTGTTAGTTTTTTTTTACCATCCCAAGATGAAGTCAAGCACACGGTCAATGGGAGCTCCAATAGCCTCAAGGTCGACTGGTTCGAACCAAGTTGGACTGTGTGCAATTCCAATTTTACCTCCAACACACTATATTTTGGCAAAAAAAAAATATATTCAATTAAATTTTTTTTTTAAAATAGCATAAGAAAATAGACTCATGCATGTAATTTAGATAAACCATTTTGCATTTTCTAAAAGCGTCAGCAGCTTCAGCATGCGCTAAGAGTAAGTTGTGACTGACTCGATAGGCTTCGTATCCTGATCGTCCATCTTCACAATTCTTTCCCCATATTTTGATATATGGTGAACAACGTCCTGGAGCTTTTTTTCCGATGTCGTAACCGGCACGACTAAAAACCCATGGTTCATTAAATGTGATCCAATTTTTCACTTTATGTCCGTATTCATGAAAAGTGTAGTTCGCATATTCCGTAAAATCCTTCCTGTTTTTTCCAATGACATATTATTGATTATTGGAAGGTTTATTGTTTTTGAAAAGGAATAATCAGAAGAAATTTCCCCAAACAAATTATATAAGTATATATATTATTATATAAATGAAAAAAAAACTTACACAATACGCCTACTCAAAAAACCACCGTATTCATCTTCTAAGTCTTGCGGAGTATCCCAGTGAAAGACTGTTACTAGTGGAGTTATCTCTATATTTCCAAATAATACAAATATAGTTTGTGAGTATTAATTGATATAACATGATATTATCATATTTATATAATGTTGTTTTGGGGAAGAGAAGATTACTATTTTTGAGAAGCTCATCGATGAGGTCGTGGTAGAATTGGACTCCATGTTCGCTTATTCCCTTAGACATTCTTCCATCTGTTAGACATTATGCATAATTCCACTTGTTATTTTCTTTTCTTTTTTTTCCTAACTTTACCTTAGTCACTAACAATCTAACATATCGATATACTGTACATTAAAAAAAAACTTAGGGCAAACTTACGGGGGAAAATTCTAGGCCACGCAATAGAAAATCTAAAAGCATCAGTGTTGAGGTCTTTCATCAATTTTATATCCTCCTGTTAATATTCATTTAAAGCAAATATTAATCACCAGTAATTTATTTAAATCACTAGAACATTAAAAAAAATGATAATATTATTACCTTGTAACGATGGTAGAAATCAACAGCAACATCAGCGCTAGCATTTTGACATCTATCTGAATTTTTTTACAAATATTTTAGATCGATGACATATATATGAGTAAATTATAACCATAGTTATACTGATATAAGGGGAAAAAAAATCTACATACGTGGGTATTTCTTAGTGAAAGTGTCCCACATGCTTGGACCTCTGCAACCTTTTTTAACAGCTCCTTCAACCTATTTTACAACACAGTAACAGAAAGATATTAATAATCATAAAATGCAAAAAAAAAAAAAACACGTACATCATAGGTTTTGTGGGAAAAAAAATTGTAAAAGATGTACCTGAAACGCAGCGGTTGCGGTTCCCCAAAGGAAGCCTTCAGGGAAGCTAGCTCTACTTAGTTTATCAGTTTGACGGCAAACAGGTCCATCGGCTTTGGTGGGAGATCCAGTCAGAGTTATAACCAGAACTAACCCTAACAGTAAAGGAACCCTTTCGAAGCTCACCATTTTGTGTTTGTCTCTCTCTCTCTCTCTATATATATATATAAATATAACTAAAGATATTGATGGAGAAAATTGATGAAGAAGTGAAGGAGTGCTTAGGGTTATATAGAGCGTTGTGTCATTGTTTAGTAGTGTGAACATCAACAAAAACAAAAACAAAAAAAAAGTCAGTGTTGTAGACATTGTAATTTGTGAAATGTGTCATTACTGTAGAATAATTGAAAAAGACAATATTTTCTGAATAATACTTGTATTCACACTTAATTTACCAGAAAACTTTACACATTGTATCTTATAGACTAAAGATAAGAATCTAGAACTATTGCCGATCTTACACTTGATATAGCTGTCTAAGGTGACCCATCACCTAGAGAATAAAGGATTTCAATTTTTTTTTTTTTTTTGTTAAGGATTTCAAATTTGTTCTAGTTCTAGACGCTCCTTGTGTTCGTACGAACGTCTCTCTGCTCACTCTATTTTTCCATTACAGAATTTGTCTTCTTTTGCTGATGTTGACTGGTTTCGGTAGATGGGCTTTGATTTGTTTAGGTATATTGACTTATTTTCAAGCTACACTTTCACATCAACCAGCATTACATATTGCTAAGCTAGAAATCAAGTCCAAGAAAAAACCTAACAATTGTCTGACATCTCCACTAACTTAATTTGAGATCGTAGTATGTTTACCATTTAGATCCGATCCAATCTTTCAACAAACATAATTCATTACCAAAAAGAATCCAGATAATTTATTGACACATCAGTCATATACCAAAATCAAAATGCAACCTAAGACTAAATGTCTAAAATGAAAATGCATTTTAAACACGTACAGTATTAGCTTTTCCACTGCTCCAGTAAAAGGTATTGGTTTTCCACAGGTAAAAAAAAATGTTGAGAAAGAAAGCAAGTATATTTATACATACATGAGCTGGGAGGATCTGAATAGCGAAAATTGGAAATCGTAATATGTCACAATCAAAGCCAACGTATTCAATTTCCTTAAAAGTAATTCTCTATTATTTTTGTAAGGAAAACGAAGAGATTACATAATAATCTGGTGATAATTTTTATAAGGTTTTTTGGGATAAAATATGAAATTTTATTTAACAAAAAACTGGAATGGTTTCTTTATAATATGCTCAACAGAGCTAAAGGTTATGAAAAGCCCCAAAAAAATTAAGATTCCTAAATGATAACAGGCCAATGAAGTAATTCGCTCTGCACTAGAAAAGAGAGCTACTCCATAAGTGAACCATTGCCATAACAAATCCGTAAACGCCTTCTGTTATATCTGAACGAAGATGACTGTGTGGCCACATTGAAAAATCTATTGTTTCTCTTTTTCCATAGGTGTGTTTTTTTTTTCAAGGATTTTTTCGGAAAATATGTCGTGATACCATTGTGAAATAAGGAAAATGTGACAAAATTATTTGTTAGTTATTTTGTGTTGACTACCACAGGAGAAGAGGGAAAGAAAACGTGTCCAAATAAAAAAAAAAACTATCTTGTTTTTAAAGATGTAACTAAAAATTTGGTGGGACAAGAACTCTTATTCGAGGCACGGGGGCTTGGATTTCCATAGACACATATGTTGTCCTTTTCATGAATTAAAACTTTGGTCGGTAATAGTTCTCAACGCTGTCAAATTTTTTTTTTTTTCTAAAGTTATAATTCGGAACAGATTTTTGAGCTTCGTCGGATGGTAAAGTGTGTCTATCGGAAAGGGACGTTAGTGATGCTGGATTGACCGTGAATGTAGGGTAAATTTAGGAGAGCAAACCAAATTTAGCTCTTCCCTTGACGCGGTCCTTCGGCTGCTCCGTTCATAATTATGTCCTTCATCTTTTGTATCCAAACTCACGTACTCAATATGACAAAACACACATCTAATGCTGCATTTAGATGTAACACGAACATGCCCTAACAAAATACTAAGAAACTAGAATCCATATTATGCAATGTTTTGGATATTCTGAGATCGTAGACTTTGATTTAAACATTTTCACAAAAAAAAATTGCTAAATAACCGCTAGACTAAACGCGCAAATTGACTTTTTGTGTGAAACCTAAATCGAATTAACCATACTTTTCGTTACTCTCTTCTTCCATTCCTTATGTAACTATTGATAAGCCAGTAGGCCCAGTACTCCACATTGCTAGCTCCTTTAGAATGTAGATACGGTCCTCTTTTTGTTAAAGATCCGGCAAAGCAAAGAAATAGTGGATTTGCTGCGAAATTCTATCAAGATTGTTAAGAAGCAGTGAGATTAATATAACAACCGAATTCTAACGACAGGCCTTGGTTCAGAGGTTGCGCTGCACTTTGCCATTAGACTCCTGGATTTCATAAGATCAAGCTAGCTGCAGCTCTAGGAATGTATAGTCTGTCGCCGCCAAATAGGTATAATCACTATTTTCAAAACTTAATTATTGATAATCAACTAATTACTTTTGTGACCATTGCAGAAATTTGTTGGATGACATGTCAGATGAAGCTGTGGAACGAGCAGCATGGCTTCAATCTTTCTTGGAGGTAACTTGTAGTTTATTTTGATGTTTTTTTTGGTAATAGACATAAAAATAACCATATTTGGTTTGCTTTATCACAGGCCGATAGGTCGAAAACTCTCCATTTAGTTATAAGAGTGCAAAAAATGATCGGTCCTCTCTTTCACTCGTCGGATTTAGAAAGACCAAGTTGAAAATGTTTGAGAGGTATATGTCAAAACAATTAAATTACCATTCTTTTTTGTCAGTTTGTTTTCTTTCTCTGAATTATTTAGGTTTATGTCTCTGCAGAACTCCTAGTAGTACTACATATGGGAATACTTCCAGCTCGGTGCAGAATTGGCTCGCAAATACCCTTTCGTTGACCCACGTTTGGAATGAATCTGAAATTTTTTCTCGTATAAGTTTGAATGAAGCTTATGGAACTTTTCATGTACCACAACAAGCTTGATTGTAAACTTTTGCAGGATTTTACCTTTGCAGCTCTTGACCTGTCATTGTTCTTTTTTATTTTATTCGTCTTCTTTTACGAATGGTTTTGTAGTTCTCGTTTTGTCGATTGAAAATGAGAAAATTTATAGGTTAACAAAATCAAAAGTAGAGAGGAGATCATGTTTGTAAGTATCCAAGCAACTGCGAACGATTTCTCATTTGTTATTATAACTTCATTAAAAATAAAATATCAAAACTATCCTATCTTTATCTTATTGAGCTATAAAAAACACAAAATTATGTTGACTGTTTTTCCATTTTTTTTGTTAATAATAAGATACTTAATTAGTCAAAATCCATTTGATTCAGTAATAATATGTGTATGATTGATTGACTTCGTGAAAACTTACTAGAACTCGACTGACTTCACAAATATATTGAAAGCTTCTTTTATTAGAATTAATCAGCATAACATTATATGTTTCCAGAGAGAGCCCCTTCCTCTCTATCTCTCAACCTCTCTTTCTCCTGATATAACCAACACACAAACTCTGAAACAGAACATCAACACAAAATACAAAACAAGAACCAACAAGAGTTCTAGATTCGCTCTAAACACAACCAATTCTCTAAAGAGAACTAAGAAACTTAACCCATGTGATCTCTGCACTCTGTATCGCCTCTCTCGCAAATTCCTCAGCCGCTTGCTCGTCTTTCGCCTTCCTTACCTCTCCATGATACTCTTCGTAAGCCTCGGAAGCATCAACAAGAAGATGAGAAAGACCGTTCACAATCTCCTTAAACTTTACATCAACAGATTCTCTCTCTGCTTCAAGCTTCTTCAATAGTTTCTTGATCGCAAAGATTCTAACGTACAACGCGTCTCCCCTTTGAGCAAGCGTTTTAGCCGCCGAAAAATTAGCGTCCACGAAGGTTTGCTTCTCCGTGGCAGTTTCTTTGAGCATTTTAGCTCGTGTCTTTGTGATGTGGACTCGCTTAGAAGCTTCAAGTCCTTCTTTTATGACATTTCTGTATTTAGCTAACCTAGAAATGTAACTGATTGGCGCTGAGCTTAGCTCTTCGAAACTTGCTGCCATAACGAGAATCTCTTCAAAATCTTGACGTGTCACAAGCTGACGAGCGGTTAAGCCACGAAGCTCTTTCAGTTTAGCCCTAAGGCTCTCTACAGTCTCTGAAGTAGCTGATGATTCGCTTGTGGAAGAAGAAGATGAAGATGAAGTGAGAGCTCTGTGTGCATAATGAGATTCCTTTTCTTTCCTGTGATTCTCAACTATTTGAGTCAAAGACTTAGTGAGACTAGAAGAAGTCTCTGTTCCCTGCCCAACAAAAAAAAAAAGAATATGTAGAAATTAGACTTTTGAGATTGTGATTGTAATTCTTTTCTTGTTACTCAAGAAAAGGTCAAAATACAAAACCTGGGTTGCAGATTCTTCAGAGAGGATCTCGTCTATGCTATATTTTTCTGATATAGCGATTGAAGCGTCTTCTTCTTGCTTAAAACCAGAACTGTCTTGATTAAAACAGCCACATACACCTGACTGTCCTAATCCAAGAATCTCTGATGTACTCTGTTTCTTTGCAGCTGTGAGAACAAGAACTGTCTTAGAAAGTAGTCTCAGACAGTGAGTGAAACAGAAGAATTAAAAGAGTTTTGGTTTTGTCTTACATTCTTCTTTATTAGCATTTGCACTAAAGCCACTTTGCGCTTCTGCAGAACAAGAAGCTGGAATCAGACAATGTCAAATGATACTTATTTGCCTAGAAGAGAGATTACTAATAGAATCTTGAAGTACCTTCGAATTCGCGCTCCATCTCTTCCAACATTATCTTTCTCTTAGCAGCTGAAACAAAAATTCACAGAAGAAAGATTTCACAATTTGCAAGAGAAGGTTGTAAAGAGAAGAAAAGGGATCAGAGAGTTTACATTGTTCTTCAATGTGTTTGGAATCATCAATTTGTTGTATCTGTTTAAGACCTCCAATAGCAGCTGCAAGTAGAGATTAAACAGGTTCAAGATTTCCTCTAAAGCTTAAGAGCTATAATAATTTAGACAGACATTGGTACGTTGAGAGATACCTTCAAATTCACGTTCAATCTCTTCAAGCATACTCTTTCTCTTTGCAGCTGTAACAAGAGCTAAATAAATCTAATCTCTGAATACTGTAGTAAAGAAAAGGAATCAGGTTTTTTTAGTTTTCTTACATTGTTCTTCATTATCATTGACTTCAGTGAAATCATTAACCTTTAGTTTTGTAAGACCTTTTGTAGCAGCTACAAATGTAAGAGAGAAACTGAGATCTTAGGATAAAAAATAGAAAATTTAAAAACAGAGGTAAATAAATGGTGAGTGAAGATACCTTCAAATTCACGTTCCATCTCTTCCATCATACTGTCTCTCTCTGCAGCTGGCATAAAGACATAAAATAGGCATTGTCTTAGAATAGTACTGGAGGAGAAAGAAAAAAGAGTTGAAAAAATTGCAGAAAGAGCAAGCTATTTACATTGTTCATCATCAGCACTGCCCTCAGTGAGATCATTTAGTTGTTTAAGATCACTCGTAGCAGCTGCAAGTAGACACAGATAGACACAATCTTAGAATAACATTCTTCATGTTTGGTTCTATTGCATTTTCTAATAAGATACCTTCAAATTCACGTTCAATTTCTTCCAGCATACTTTGCCTCTGTGCATCTGTAACAAGACATCAAAGCTTGTCTCAGATTACTATAGGGATTCAAAAGCAGATCAGAGTAAAGAGTGTTTTACTTTGTTCTGTAGAGTCAGTGGAATGATCAACTTGAAGTTGCTTAAGGCTATCTGTAGCAGCTGAAAGTGATAAATGAAGAGGCAAGACTCAGATAATACTCAGAGCTGTGATATGAACTAATTAAGACCAGAAAATGTTATGTGGATGATACCTTGGAAATCACGTTCGATTTCTTCTAACATACGTTGTCTCTTTGCAACTGTTTTACAGCAAGATCAATCTAATTCAGAAAACCATATGCAGGAAAAGGCAATAGATAAATACGAGTGGACAAAAGCTGTTATACCTTGTTCATCTTCAAACTTTTCCCCGGTTAAATCACTAGCCTTGAGATGTTCAAGACCTTTTGTAGCAGCTATGAGAAACAGAACACAGGAACATATACTTAAGTAACATGCAAGTTTCTTGGCGAAACACAAAACCTTTTTGAATTAGTTAGTGGTGTGGTTTAAAGTACCTTCGAATTCCCGTTCGATCTCTTCAAGCATACTTAGTCTCTTTGCAGCTGTAACAAGACATAGAAGCAGCTTCAGAGACAATGGATAAGAGAAAACCAAAAGATATATCCTGAGACTTTACATTGTTCTTCATCATTCTTGCTTCCGGTGGAATCAGAAACCTTTAGTTCTTCAAGACCTTCAATAGCAGCTGCAAGTAGGAGATTCAAACGAGAAAACACACAAACAAACTCTTAGATCATTACTCATATTTTGGCATTCTTCTCGTAAATTAATGAAACTTAGGAACAAAAAGTAATGGTGACCTTCAAACTCGCGTTCGATAGCATCCAGCATACTTTTTCTTTTTGCAGCTGTAAGAAAGACACAAAACCATTTACAAAATGCTAAAGAAAAGAAAAAGGATCAGAGAAATCTGTGAGGGAAGAGGTTTATTACATTGTTCCTCGTCATCTTTGTCACCGGTGAAGTCATTAACCTTTAGTTGCTCAAGATCTTTTGTAGCGACTACCATATAGACATGAAACAGAAGACAAAACAGACTCTTAGATTCCAAAACAGAGGAATTATTTGAAGACATGTCTCAAAGGTTATGTGGAGAATATACTGTCAAACTCTCGTTCGATCTCTTCCAGCAAACTCTGTCTCTTTGCAGCTGTATCAAAACACGAAACCTCCCTCAGTGAAGGAAACAATGGAGTCACAAAAATGTAAGAAAGTAAGTTTTTTTACCTTGCTCTTCATAGTTTCCTTCGCTTAATTCATCAGTCTTTAGTTGTTTCAAACTAGTTGAAGCAGCTGCAAGTAAAGAGAAGCAAAAGAAGACAGACTATCAAACTTTATTATAAGGGAAGCTCTTAGAAACTAACTAAAAGCTGTAGATAGAATCTCTGAAACATACCTTCAAAATCTCGTTCCATGTCTTCCAACATTTTCTGTCTCTGAGCAGCTGAAACAAGACACATATCAACTGCCTCAGCAAAAGAAAGAACTCTTGGAAAGATTCATAAAATTGTTTAAAAGAGAGATTGCAGATTGCTTCTTACATAATTGATCATCATTCTTTGATTCAGCCTTGACAACATCAGATCCAGCTTGGTTTAGACCATTGAGGTGAGCTGCAATTTATCAAGATAGACAATAAACACAAACACTATACTTAACACCAAATTCTGGTTAATCCTGGATTGAAAACAAAAAATATTGACTTTGGATCATTAAAAGGCCTCTTGATTCAACCTGTAACCTATGCGCACAATCACTAGGAAAAAGAGAGACTAAGATCTTAAGATACCTTCAAATTCAAGTTCGATTTGATCCAAGAGACTCGAACGTTTAACACTTTCATCACTAACAGCTCCAACCTAAATAACACAAAATAAGCCAAAAAGCACCTTAATTCTACAATGAACTAACTTTGCAGAAATCTCTTAGGCAGATTCATCATAATCAAACTCTAAATCTGAATCCTAACCTGGGTTGAGTTATCAACTGAATCACTGTAAGTACCGTCAGATTCATCTGACAGAGACAGAGAAATAGTGTTCTTATCAGTCACTGTAGTGTTCTTCTGGTTCTCACTCTGTATCTTTGTAGCTGAAAACACACACAAACACAAACACAGAAGCTTTCACAAAGAAGAAAACAGAATGAAGAAAAGAAACAAGAAACAGAAACAGAAACAGAGAGAGATCTTACACTGATCTTCATCTTCCTCGCCTTGAAGAGCATTGACACTAGCTGCAATTTAAGAAAGATTAAAAAAATCAATCCAAGAAAGAAAAAAAGAGGGAAAATATGGATGATTATGGGTATTTACTTACCTTGGTATTCACGTTCGATTAGATCCAAATTACTCAACCTAGTAGTGCCATCATCCTGAAAAAAATTCAAATGCATCAATTCATTTTGCTTTTTAAGGTTGAAAGAAAAAAAGAATTATACACTCTTTTTTTGTGTGTGTGTTTACCTGAGAAGAAACCTCATGAAAGCTTGAAAGAACAAGACACAGAGACAAACCCAGAGCAAGAAAATTCATTCTCATGGCAGATATTTCCATTACAAGAGCGGACGACACAATCACACAATCTTTAAGCTTGAAGAAGCATCAAGTGGCTGTGGAAACGTTTTTAAAACAAAACCGTTGTAACTAACTCAAACGTGGGTTTCATTTTTTTTTTATCTCATGGGTCTTCTGGAGAACTCATAGTTTCCTAGTGTGTGTAGTAAAAGTTAAACAGATGAGAAATCTCTTCTTCTTCTTTTTTTTTTTAATTTCATTTTAGTAAAAGTGACATTTTTAACAAATAATATCATACTATTATTGAATATGATATTATTTTCTTAATTAAATAAAAACGATAACCAATAGGTAACTCAGTGGGAGTGTAATTCCCTTCTATATATTCCCCAATTCTATATCAATCGCTTTTGAACTTTTTTTCTGACTCTAATAAGTGAATAATTTACACTTAACTTTTTCCGGTAACCAAAAAAGTAGCTTATCCAATCGTGTCTTTAGATGTGATGAAACTTTATTGTGAATGCAGGGTTCTAATGTGTCCTCGCTTTCAAGAGCGGACAACTATAGTTACTTATACTGTTATACTGAATCACTGATAGAAGATCGTTTCAACGTGGAACATGTGTATGTAATCAGTGGCGGAGGCAGAAAAATTATTGACATGACTCATAATATAAAAAATTGTATAACGCAAGCTCGTTTTCACAATTTCATTGCAAAAAATTATTTTTCGACGGTTGCGGTCGCAACAAAAGGAATCAAACATACCTTCAATCTTGAATGTTTTTTCGGTTTGCTGGATCATATGGTAAATCATCCAATTCAATATTAGATGGTGAAGATTTTTTTTTTCAGAAACTGTTTCATTATATTTGACTTTTGAATATTTTTTTGCTTTGCTGAATTTATATTAGATAATAGAGATTTTTTTTTATAAACTGTTCTATTATGTTTGATAGTACACTACACCAAAAAAAAACGTTAATTCTAATTTAATATTTAAAAAATTGTGTGTTATAATCACAAGCATAGATAGTTGGTGTCTGCCACATTTTAAAGAATAAAAATAAAAGTAAAGTTTCATGTGAATTATTTAAAATTTATATTTTGTTGATCAATATATAATTTCCTTTTTTCTAAAAAAAACATTAATGTGCAGCTTCTTTTCTAGGTTATATTAGTTTTGGAAAAAGTCCACAATTTATAAATTAATATTTTAAGATGAATTCTTATTTATAGTTTAACAACTCCTTCTAAAATGTTACAATTTATCGATGTGGGATAAAATTATAGTGCTACAGCATAATTTTTTTTTTAATTCCACCTAGGTTGTCGATGTAGGATAAAATTATAGTGCTATAACATAATTTTTTTTTTAACTCCACCTGGGTCAGCTGACCCACGTAATTGTAGGATGCCTCCGCCACTGATGTAATACTTGTGTGTGTGTTACTAGTACGTACATGAATGAGAACGCGTGGAAGCATCATGATCTCAATTAATAATCGATTCTGTTTTTATCCGCGACATCATTAAATAGTTAAAATTTAAGAATGTGAGTATTCAGTAACTAGGAAGAAGTTTTTTTTTTTTTTTGAGAAAAGGCTTAACTAGGAGGAAGTTATTGGTACCTAATTCTTAGATGTAATTAGAATTTTTTTGATGAATTCTTATATATGAAAGAAATTCTAATTCTATACAAAATCTCTTATTGTTATTATCTTATTAAGTTTATTATTAATTCTATAAATCTATTAAAACTTAGTGTTGTTAAAAATATTTAACTATACTTTTGTTCATGATACACAACATCGTATCCATTTGATTTTTAAAATGATTACAACTAAACCAAACAATTCTTTGACGGAATTTAGTTTTGATAAATTTAATAGATATTTTAACTTTTCAAATCAATCAATTTCATTGGAATTACACTCCCATTGAGTTTTAACCCCCTTCCTCCTAAGTAACTGTTATACATTTTTTTTTGGTAAAAAGTAACTGTTATACATGTCAATGAAAATGGTGGTATATAAAAAAAACTGTAGAAGTGAACGTTTCCAACCAAATAAATTAGTGATCAAAGAAGTTTTAAAGTGTTTATTCTTGTGATTTAGACATTATAGAATGTGATTGTTGTGTTTGTCAGCGGCATGATCATTTTAGAACTTGGCCCACTACTAATCAGATCTGACAAAAAATAATAACAATAATTGAGTTCTCCCCACTAGTCCGAAAAGAAAAGTCATAGAGGTCATTTGCCTTTTTAAGTGATTGCTTTATTTTGTGAAAACTCTTGTCAAAAAAGAGAGCTTTACATAATCCATATAACTTGTCAGTTTCTTATAACAAAAATAGGCTTTGATGGTACTCTCTCAAAAAAAAAAAAAAACTAGGAAAAATGATGTTTTATGGTTCTGGACCTCTGGTTTAACAATTACAAGCGTTAGAACTTTTTTCTAAATCAAATTTTTAAAAATTGCATAGCAAACTTTAGTAGATTTTTTTTGTAGACACCTTCTATTTTCAAGAGTTACTATGATCCAGTATTGTGCCTATGATCAAAGAGGCCCAAGGCAATTAAAAAAAAAAAGAGGTCTCTGTTTCTATAATCATCAATAATAACACAATACTATCTATAAAATAAGACAGACATATAAAAATCATAAAAAAGTTAAAAAAAGTTTCAAAAAACTTTTATAAAAGTTTTCTACAAATTTTTTGAATATGCTCTTTAAACATTTGATGTTGATCAAGTAGGTAAACCATGAAATTTTAATCTTTTAATTTTGAAAAATATTTACAGATTTTAAATAAATATGCTACTAAATACAAACAGTTAATTGCTGGAAATAAGTTAATGAATTTTCTTGTCGAGAAAAAAAAAGATTAAAAAGATTGAAGGAAACAAGATAATGAACTCTTTATTTTAGAAAAGGGGAGATAATGTACTTTTTGCCAACTTTATATTTTATTTATAACGTAAGTTGATATGCTTTCAATAGTTCTTGAAAAAATATAACATCAGGGAACGAAATGAATACTGATAGTTGGTGGTTTTAGTTCTATCTCTTATCTATTCTTTTCGTTCAAACATTCTTGAGATTGAAAGTGTCATTTTAATGAAAACTAACAAATAAGACGACACCATTTGTTTTTTTTTTGTTTTTTGACGTAAGACGACACCATATATATATTTGCCTGTTGTAAACAACATTTTATTATTACGATCGAAGGAAACTACAAAAAGTCACAAAGTCTTGCTAACATCGGAGGAAACACATAGATGATAAAAAACGATAAACTTGATTGGTAGAACGCACAAACTGATATAAATCCTCAAGAACAAGCTTCTTGCAAGAATTTATTTATTTTCGAAGGATTCAAGATTTGGATTCTTGATCTTAGAGTTCTTCCCTCACTAACTTGGAAGTTGGAAATCCCGGCTTAAGGAAATCAGAATACCATTTGCCCGAAACTTTCTGGTGACGAGTCAAATTGTTTTGGAAATCGATATAGTAAAGCCCGAACCTAGCCTTGTATCCATCTTGCCACTCAAAGTTGTCCATCAAAGACCACACGTAATATCCCGTAACTTTCACCTTGTCATCGCTACAAAAATAAAAAAAAATCACGTTCATGCACATGAATTATTTATTTAATATAATGTTTTCAGTTAGTTGTCGGTTTAATTTGATTCTTTTTACTTACCAAATGGCCTCGTGCAAACTCAAGAGATGCCTTTGAAGATAATATTTCCTGTTGTGGTCATTTGTCCCAGTTTTTACGTCATTGTGAAGGTCTCCAAGGTCCTCTCCATATCCTTATTCAAAAACAAAAACATACAAGAAAATCCAAAATTTAACATTTTCAGATAAAATAAATCAACTTGAAATTGATAAAAATGAGTCTTGAGCATTTTTTTCCAACCATTCTCGGTGATCATAATTTCTGGGTCACCATAATTGTCCTTGATGTACTTCAAAAGTTTTCTCATTCCTCTTGAATAGACATCCAGTTTACCACCAGCAGGCTAATTAATAATAAAATATATCAATCAATACATTAAGTAATTATGTCTTAGGTAATAAAAAGAAAGGTAAGTGTTAGGAAAAAAAAAAGATTCAATTACCTTGCTACCAATTTTGTATCCATCGACAGTCTTGCCTGGTTAATTGAGCAACCAGCAACAATATTAATTATTATTATTTTTTGACGTCGATATCAATTTGATAATTTGATAACTTAGAAAAATTCGAATACTTACTTTCCCATTGAACAAGAGAATCCGTCGTCCAACTCGGGTTCTTAGAATTAGAGTCCTTTAGACCAGCTCCAAACATTGAGGTATAATAATTCATCCCTACAAAATCTGCAGAATTCTTTAGCTTTCTCTTTTCCGCTTCTGTGAATTTTGGCAATCTATGACCAACGCGATCCTTCATCGACTGTGGATAATCTCCGTAAGTTGTTGGATACAAATGCCTGTTTTTTTTTTCATATAAGATATTTCAGTGAGTTTATTTTGTTAAATATGTAAAAAAATTAGTAAGTTAATATTATAATTTACTACATTCTTGATTAGTGTAAATATTTTTACCATCCCAAGATGAAGTCAAGCACACGTTCAATGGGAGCTCCAACAGCCTCAAGGTCGGCTGGTTCGAACCAAGCTGGACTGTGGGCAATTCCAATTTTACCTCCAGCACACTACATGTAAATTTGAGTTGACCACAAAACAACTTTAAATTAAACAATATTATATAAAATTATAAATAGGTGAATAAATTTTGACAAAAAAAAAAGCTTTTAAAGTCATGTTTATAAAACTATTAAAAATAATAAGATAGAATGTATAATTAATAAACCTGTTTGCATTTTCTGAAGGCGTCAACGGCTTCAGCATGAGACAAGAGTAAATTGTGACTGACTTGATAAGCTTCAAATCCTGACCGTCCATCTTCACAGTGCTTTCCCCATTCTTCGATGTATGGTGAACAACGTCCCGGAGCTTTTTTCCCGACGTCGTAACCGGCACGACTAAACACCCATGGCTCATTGAATGTGATCCAATTTTTCACTTTGTGTCCATATTCTTGGAAAGTAAAGTTTGCATATTCCGCAAAATCTTGCCTATATTCATCAAAAATAACATATTATTATTGAGTTATTAAAAAAAAAAGTTATATATAAATTTTACCAAAAACCACAAAAATTATATACATGAAACAAAAACTTACACAATGCGGCCACTCAAGAAACCACCGTATTCATCTTCTAAGTCTTGAGGAGTATCCCAGTGAAAGACTGTTACTAGTGGAGTGATCTCTATATTTTCAAAGAAAACATATATAATTGTGAGTATATTAATTGATATAACATGATATTTTCATATTAATGCTGCTTTGGGGAATAAGAAAATTACTGTTTTTAAGAAGCTCATCGATGAGGTCGTGGTAGAATTTGACTCCTTGTTTGCTTATTCCCTTGGACATTCTTCCATCTGTCGTTTATTGCGTTTCCGCTTGTTATTTTCATATTTTTGCTAGCTATTATAATAATATTAATAGTAAAGATAACCATTAACATATTGATCAACATTAAAATAAAATAAAAAACCTACGGGGGAAAATTCTGGGCCACGCAATAGAAAGTCTAAAAGCATCAGTGTTGAGGTCTTTCATCAACTCGATATCTTCCTGTTAATATTCATTTTTAAGAATATTAATCATCAAAAAATCATTTAAATCAAAAGAAGATATAAAAAATGATAACTAATTACCTTGTAACGATGGTAGAAATCAACGGCAACATCAGCGTGATGGTTTTGACATCTATCTGTAATTGTTTTTCAAAGTTGTTCAAACAAAATATGTGTAAATAAAAAACATAACTATATCGATCGATAAATTGGAAAAAAAAATATATATATATCTACATACGTGGGTATTTCTTGGTGAAAGTGTCCCACATGCTTGGACCTCTGCAACCTTCATCAACAGCTCCTTCAACCTATTACAGCATAATAATAAAGGAAAAAAATTAGTAATCATAAAACGGGGGGAAAAATATATATTTTCTGAAAGAAAAAAAGAAATGTAAAAGATGGACCTGAAACGCTGCGGTTGCGGTTCCCCAGAGGAATCCTTCAGGGAAGCTGGCTCGGCTAAACGTATCAGCTTGACGGCAAACAGGATCTTGGGCTTTGGTCGGAGCTCCGACCAATGTTAGAACCAGAACTAACCCTAACAGTGACAGTAAAGGAACCCTCTCGAATCTCACCATTTTGTGTCTCTCTGTCTCTCTGTCTCTCTAGTTCTCTAGCTTTAGATATTGTTGAAGATGAAGTGAAGGCCGAGCTTATGATTATATACACAGAGTTGTGTTGTGTCAGTGTTATAGTGTGTGTGTAATTTGTGCTATCACTTTTCAGTATCATCACCACAAGTGCGTTTTTGATATTAAATTAAGTTAGGTTAGATTAAATTAAAATAAACACGTGATTCTTTATAGTCCGGAACCAAGTAGCAACCGTTATATTATTATTTACAAGCGCCAGCCAATAATATACATATTATAACGTATTTTTATTTGCTTACATGACTTTGTAATTTGACATACAATTTTTCATCAACGTTTCTATTTTAATCACGCGATGCTTTGTTTTACTTTTTTTTATAAGAGACTTTTTTGTTTAATTATAATTTCTAAGGATGTATAAAGGACTTGCATGTTTGCAACGAGCTTAAGGTTCTCTAGTGAGAAAAGTGGGTCTGAAATCTTTCACGTTGGAGTCTTGTGTATAAGACAGTATAACTTATAGAAATTATTTGCTATTTTTAACATTCGTTTTTAATTTTTACTAGTATGCATTAATATCGCCTGTTGTAACATGCAACTGCATTGTGAGTAAAAGTTAATGGTGAAGATGTTTTTATGATTCTGTCCCAAAATAAGCTGGTCAAGACCGTTGTGAAATAAGGAAAATGTGACAAAATTGTTTGTTCGTTAATAGTGTGTTAACCACCACAGGAGAAGAGGGAAAAAACGTGCCCAAGCAAAAACTCTACTTTCTTTTTAGTTATAAGGGCAATACAGTAATTTCAGTAGCTATTTTGTCCATCGTTAACTAAATTGAAAATTTAATTCATTTTGAAATGAATATTCATGAATGAGATAATATTATTACTAGTAATTAAAAAAGAAACGAAATAAATAGAGTTCTTTTTGTAATAAAGAGAGTTAAAATGATATAACTACTTAAAACAGTGATCTTTCATAAAAAAGTGATAGCAAAAAATGTACATATATATTGAATAAAGAAATATATAACTCTAATAACGATTATAAGCTGAGTTACATAGAGTTATGGTAAAAACGTGAATGTAGTAAATGCTCCTTTTAAAGATTATTTTTATTTAATTTATATATAATTTTATTTTTGCTTAAAGGATGTACCTAAAAATTTGGTGGAACAAATGAGAGAGTGTTGTCTCTTGGTCAAAAAATATCCTGAATTTAAGATATTTGCAACTTTAGCATAAAATCTTACACGACGCAGTGGGGCTTGGATTTCCTTTTCTTTAAATGTATAAAATCTTGCCCATTTATAAATTAAAAGTTTGTGTTTATATATATATATATAATGAAGTGATCTAGATTTTTACCATTCATCTTCTCTTTTTATGATGAATGAAACTGTTAAATAATTTAGTCATCGATTTATTTAGTGGATTTAAAGCTATGCATAATAAAAATTTGACTGGCACTATTTTTACAGTTAGTTTTATTAAATTCTCACAGCCAAAACTCTACTTCAAGATGAATTTTTGAGATCTATTGGATAGTTAAGTTTGTCTACCACGCAGGGTTGGCTTTGAACGACATTAGACCTCATCTTGGTTGATGAAATAGGTAATACGATTTTTTCTATGCTTTCAGATGGCAAGTAACATTTATAATTAAACTAGTTTTATAATTAAATAATTAAAAACTAATTTTATAATAAAATATTTGTGAAATTTAAGTTTAAAATAATCATCATATCAACTTCTTAATCATTTGGGTTTTCAATAAAATTATATTAAATTTACCAAAAAAAAAATTATACTATTTCGAAATAAAACTCTATAAATTTAGATATTTTAACATAGTAAAAAGTGAGAAAAATATAAGATTTTCATATGATAAAGCGGGATTAAAAAATTTGGTAGCTTTGAAAGTATTTGGTGCATCAAATTTTTTCATTTCATAGCATCCAAAATAGTTGGAATTCTTTTGATGCAACTCATTTGTATGCGATTTTGGCATCCGAATTCTCATACAAATGTGACAAAACGAACAACATCTGTATAGTGCATCTAAATAAGAACATGCCCGAATAAAACGTATAGAAAGTAGAAATTATAAATTTTTTTTCCTGGTTGTCAAAGAAACTAGAATTCATGTTGTTCAATTTTTGTTGTTGTTACAGCTTAGGAAAAAAAAAATTGTTGTTGCATATTCTGAGATATGAATCGTAGACTTTGATATACACATCGTCACAACCACTCGACCAAATGAATTTTTACATTCTTTTAGACGATGAAAAGAAAAACAATTCACTTGTGATATTCATCAAAAGGCTATAAACTATAAAGAAGCATTTCTGCGACATTTGTGACTGGCTTTGAAAAAAATCAGCAATTATTACTCTTTTTGTCTTTTTGAAGGATATAAAGCTGCAGAATATTATGGAGAGGGCTAGCCTTACCCCCATTCATGACTGCGACTGTGAGAGTTATTACTTATTAGTTATGGTCACAATCTCACGTGCTAGCAAATTCATTTGGAGTTTTGGACCAAAGCAACTTTTTAACTGTTTCAAAATCTAACAGTGAATTTTTGACAAGTTTTAATCCAAACGTTAAACGTAAATTAAAATATCATATTCAGATTTATAAACTAATTTAAATTGAAAGAAAAATATATTTGAAGAACGCTTTTACCAAAGTTAATGTAACTGTGAAACAATCGAATTGAGACATTATCAATTAGTGGTACAATTGCTATCTATTGCATCAAATAATTAAATTGAAAAAAAATTACATCGTTTATTTTGAATTGAAACCAATTGAAACCACACTATTATCAAAGGTTAATGTAAGTCCGAAACAATCTAATTGGCATATTAGTGGTACAATTATTACATATATATATATATATATATATATATATCTTTTTGTCAAAGATCTATTACATCAAATAGTTATCTACCAAATGTTTGCAGTCCGGTTGTTTCATTTTGTTGGTTGATTTTAAAGTTTTAATCCTGAACTTCTTATGAGATTATAAGATTGCTAAAAACACTTTTATTGCTTTAAGAAAACTCACTCAAAAACTTAAAGCCTCAAAGCTCTCTATAATCTCTTGAGTTTGCCACATCTCGACAACTTCATATATATAGAAAAACTTCCAAAATCATAATCCTTATAAAATAGAAAATCTCCTTATAGATAACTCCTAAGGTATATTTAGATATCTCCTAAATATACTAAATTTCCTAATCTTTTTAGGAAACTTGTTTCTCAAGCTTTGTTCAAGCTTAGTTCAACAATCTCCCCTCTAAACTTGAAATCCTCTTGTGATACTCCTTGCACTCCAATAAGTTCCCTCATCTCTTTGAACTTGTTTCTTCCTAAGGCTTTAGTCAAGATATTGGCCTTCTGCTCATTCCCGGGAACATGCTCAACTTCAATTTGCTCATTCTCAACACACTCGCGTATGAAATGGTACCTTCGATGAATGTGCTTACTACGTCCATGAAATACTGGATTTTTAGTAAGAGCAATCGCCGATTTGTTATCCACACGAACTATCACATTTTCACATTTAGCTCCGACGACTTCTGCAAACAGTTCTTGAAGCCAAATGGCTTGTTTAGCTGCTTCAGTAGCTGTCATGAATTCAGCTTCACAAGACGACAATGCCACAACTTCTTGTTTTGAAGAGCACCAAGAGATCGGACACTGATTAAGATAGAATATGTGACCACCAGTGCTCTTACCATCGTCTATGTCCACATTGTGACTACTGTCACTGTAGCCAACCAAACCAGTATTGCTTCCACGTTTAAAGTATAAGCCATGAGAGAGTGTTCCTTGTAAGTACCTCAATACTTGTTTTAGGGCAGCACCATGTGATTCTCTTGGCTCTTGCATATACCTACTCAGAATTCCGATCACAAAAGACAAATCTGGCCGTGTGTGAAGTAAGTACCTAAAGCATCCAATATTCCTCTTGTACTCATGCTCATCAATGTGATTCTCTTCTTGCGCCTTAGAGAGCTTCAAACCAGAGTCCATCGGTATGTGACACGAGTTACATTCACTCATTCCAGCTTCTTCTAAGATTTTCTTCGCATATCTTTCTTGCTTTAATATGATCCCATTTTCTTCTTGAAGGACTTCTATGCCAAGATAGTATGTAAGTTTTCCTAAGTCGCTCATTTCAAACTTTCCTCCCATGCTTCTCTTGAATGAAAGAATTAACTCCAAGTTTGAGCCAGTGATCAACAGATCGTCTACATATACCGCCACAATGAGAAGACGTTCTTTTTCTTGCTTTCGATAAAGAGAAGGTTCCTTAGAGCACCTTTTGAAACCTAAATCACTCAGTATCTTGTTCAGCTTAGTGTTCCATGTCCGCGGTGCCTGTCTAAGTCCATAAAGGGCTTTGTGCAGTTTGTAAACCTTCTCTTCTTTTCCTTGTATTTGAAATCCATCTGGCTGTGTAACATAGACATCCTCCTTTAACTCTCCATGTAGAAACGCGGTTTTTACATCTAAATGATGTACTTCCCATCCGTTTGACGCAGCTAGAGCAAGAATAAACCTCACTATCTCAATCCTTGCCACCGGAGCGAATACCTCATCGAAGTCTATACCGTGTTTCTGTACATAGCCCTTTGCTACTAGCCTGGCTTTGTACTTATTTATGCTGCCATCAGAGTTCCGTTTGATTTTGAATACCCACTTTAGACCAATAGCTTTGCATCCAGTGGGTAGATCAACGAGGCTCCATGTTCTGTTCTTGATGATCGATGAGATTTCTTCATCACAAGCATCCCTCCACTCCTTTAGTTTGCTTGCATCATTGAAATCCCAAGGCTCCTCGTTGATTGCTAGTAGTAGACGTTCACCTTCCATCTCTGCTAGCATTACAAAATCCTCCAGATGCCGTGGTTTTATTATTGATCTTGTAGATCTCCTCAAAACCGGTTGGCTCTGTTCCTGCTCTGTACTCTCTGTTTCGTCGATATCATCTTCTCCGACGAAGTCATCTTCTTCGTGTTCTTCAGCTTCGTTGGTGGATTCGTTGTCCTCTATCCTTTTGTTTACAATGTCTC